TTCTCCCATTTCCAAGCCAAGAGTTTTTAACCCCCCCTCTCTCTCAATAAACTCTCTCTAAAACTCTCGCAAATCCCTCTCCATTTTCAATCTATTCTTCCTCCAATATCCAGCCCCTAATCATCATTTTCAAGGATTAGAAGGTGTTTTGAAAGGTAAGCATCCATCCTAAAGAGTCTTACAACTCATCTCACATAGTTGTAGTTTTCATTTTTACGTATTTTGTGTTTTTCTCCTTCCTTTTTGCTTTTAAAACTTGTTCTTGCTAGAAACTGTTTCTAGAATCTTAATGTTTGTAGATTTTCACCCAAAAACATGTTGGATGTTCTAAGATGGTGATAATCCATGACCAAACCAAGTTAAGATCAAGGAAAGAACATTTGGAAATTCTGACTAGCATCCAAATGTGTATTCAAGTTTCTATCACTTTGGTTTCAAAATAAAGCATAAAAATCTTTCATACTCATCAAGGTCAAGATTTTTAGGTTGTGATGTAGGAATAACCATTTTCTCTATATCCCCCATTATCAATAGCCCACCCTTTCTTTGAACCTTGTCAATGATCGAACTTAAATTAAAGATATGAACTGAGTGCCATTTGATGAGTAAAATACCAATTTTGAACTCATGCATGTGATAAAAATTTCATAACTCAAGTACTAAAAATCGAGCCCAAGGCTTAGATTTCAAAAGATTTCTCATTAACAACATATGATGATCATTTTTAGAATTTTTGGCAAGATACTTTCGTTTATCTTGGTGCATGCATGTTTTGATGGTTAATCTAGTTTTTCATCATAATAATTTTGATTTAAAGTTTATAAATCATGATCTAACTAAAGGATGTGTAAGAATCAAGAGTTAGAACACACATTCTTAATATCATTTCCTACAGCAATCTGACAGATTCCAACCAATAACTTTGGAGGACCATAACTTCTAAAATACTTAACCAAATAAGGTGAAATTTCTTCTGAATTTACTCTGTGTATCAGCTTTCAAACCCAAGTGGTCTCACCTAAAAACATTAAGATTTCAACCTCCAAACAGTCGACATAAAACAAGTGCGCAAACAACTAAATCTTCTGGATAGCTGATCTTATGAGACCTACTTGAAGGACCTATCCATCTTCAAAATTTATGCTTTCTATGCCAAAAGTCTCCTAACATGATATGTTAACTTGGGTAAAAACCCCGACTTAAATAAATTTGAAAGGCAAATAAAGAGTTGCATAAAATAACAGAAAAATCTCAATAGCAGAACTTAAAAATAAAAATGAGGTTTCATGCTTAAAAAGATTTGTTTATCCCTCTTTTTCATAAGAATATCAAGATAATAAAAGCTATTTTATTTTTTTTCTTTTTCTCTTTTTCTTCCATAACATAATATCTCAAAACAAAATTCAGTTTTACATAAGGCATTTTATAATATTAAGCATTGTCGGAACCTTAAGATCTAGGCTCGAAATCTCATTAGTAGCGCTATTTTTCATAGGATCGAAGTAGGACCGGACCTTGGTTTGCATTCTGTAGATTTTTGGAATCGGTCATTTGCATATATCGGTGAGTTTTCACAGCCCCTTTTTACTACTTTCGTATTTTTGGGGGAAAAGCATGCTACCATTACTACACACCGGTTGCACTATTTACGCGAACTGCTAAATTATTCTGATTGCTATTGCACTTTGGTATGTATGCTTATGTTAGTTTGCCTGAGTTTTCTTTTGCTATCGCACTTAAGTCCCGTATTCTCTCACACTACCTATTAACTCATTTATTGAGCCATTGGTAATTATGGATAGAGCTATTTGGTTGACACCCCACTCACACTGTGCATGAGTGCATAATTATTGTTTCATTTACTCATGTTGGCGATAGAAAGTCCCCGTATTCTCTCACACTACCTATTAACTCATTTATTGAACCGTTGGTAATTATGGATAGCGCTATTTGGTTGACACCCCACTCACACTATGCGTGAGTGCGTAATTATTGTTTCGTTTACTCATGTTGACGATAGAACATGCGTGCTGTCATTAGGTTTGGTAGTGGGCTCGTGGCTTTAGCATTTAAGCATACAATTTACCTTGTGCGTTATAAACTACCAATTACTTATCCATTGTGCGGATTAAACTAATTTTCGAGTTAATTTTTATTTATCTTTTAAAAACCTGTGAACTCACCAACTCTTTCAGTAGTTGACCTTCTTCATCGGCATGCTTTTTAGGTGTTCATCAATAAGGTTGGCATTATAGGAAGGCATCATGTGGCAGCATATTGTTTTCTTTTTGTCAACATGTTATTTCCCTTTTGAAAAAGTTGTAATTTTAAGACATATTGTAAGCCTTTGTATTTTCTTTCTTTACTATGGTTGGTGTTGTCTTGTACCTTATGCTGTGAAACCCTTAAGTTGTTACACCTCGTGTTTCCGCTTTAGTGGGGTGTGACAATTAGAGATTCAAAGGATCCAACCCCGACATTATCAGTTAATTGCAGGGCATCCTTAGAATATTATCAAGGAAGGATTTATTTATGAGATGTGAGATTTCATTTATTTCATCTAAATTACTGAGCCAAAAACATTTGTAAGAAGTTGACAATAGTTGAAATATTGAGAGAACCCGATAATTGCTTAGACCAATACAAAGAACTCCCATTGCAAACTAGTTGAAAATTTAGTGGAAAGGATAACTACTTTGAGATTTTGAGTAAACCTCGGTGAATATAAAATGCATGGCAAAGTCCCATCAAACCTCTTCCCCACATAGAATGTTGAGCTTTTTATGACACTAAGAAGTCTGAAGTATGTAATCATAATTCTACATAATAGCACCGAAATAATTTACTGATATTCACAACTTACCGTCCATGCGGACCCTTGGCCTCGAAAGCCACATTTTCCTCCATGAGGAATCATAATTACATTGCATAAGCTTGTAATTTTCCACCACACCAGAGAGCTTCAAGGAATTTAATGAGCATGTATTTTTAGGGTATTTCAAGTGATAATTTGGTAAAATAGCATTGCATATTTTATAACAAAAATACCTGCCATGCCTTTAAGCATGCATTGCGCCAAAACACAGGGTTACGTATGGTATTTCTCCATTTTCGACAAACACAAGCTGCCTTCCCTAAGTTGTACGGAGTCATTCTAGCAAAAATCTACATAAAAATTACCAAGATTTAATACTTGTAGTTTATTATATACATTGTTTGACAGAAGTTTATGAAATAAAAAAGAGCTTGGGAGAGTAGTTTAAAACTTGAAGTTAAATAACAATACAATGTATCGTCCAAACAAAAATATTACACCTATAACATGCTATGACAAACATTAATGATTCAATTCTCTAGCAGGCATCCAAATAATGCCTTACAATTATTACATTATATCTAGTGATATACACCACTTAAACTTGTTCCAGAAAATATATATAATTCTCTTTTCACTTTTTGGTGAAGTTACACTTTTTTCACAAGCTGCTCTACTCTTTGGGGTAAAGGACACTTTTGCGTTAACCTCCCCCCCCCCCCAAAAACAAAAAAAAACACCTTATTTCTGAGTGGGATATACGGCTCTCGTTTAATTTGGTTTGATTTTTATATATTCCCTAGCATAAGACATACCGATCCTTTAGATTCCTCTCATAAATACCAACTCCAAAGGGGTAGCTAGATTATGACTTCAAACCTAACAACATGATAGGCAATAAAATACATCAAAGTAATTGAAGTAAGGACACCAAGTACTTCTGCCTTGAGTGAATAAGAAACTAGCAATTAGCTTCAACGAATTCTCATATATATGAAGCAACACAGACAGTCATCATACCTCAAACAGTAATTCATCTGGCAAGCATCTATGTATCAGAGATGAGTCAACCACTGGTTTACTACACGTGCTACCGAAAGGAGCTACTGGTCTTACATTAACCCCATATAAATCTGCAATCATTGAAATAGATAAAAGCAAGCGTCAGAAAAGTAACATATACTTTGTCCTAAATCATGTTTCCTCATTTCCATTTAAGGTTGTTCCATGATCACTCTGCACTTCCTCATCAAGATAGACAAAGACCAAGATTTATTTTTCAATTATATTATTTGTCAAAAGTTAATAGCAAGTCGTTTGTTCCATTGCGTTCCCTTTTCGCAGTTTGGTCTATCTTCCACTTTATGAGGTAGACAAAACTGCCACAAATATGGGAAATTGATTGATATTAAAGCCAAAACACCTAAATTTGAATGGAAGGCAAACAGTTTCTGTGATAATAAAACAGAAAATTTTTGGCAAAATCCAAACGATGACTATGAATAAGAAAACATAACATTTATAACAACATTGAGTTAAAGTTTACCAAGCCATGGCCTTCGTGTTATGAAGAAGCCTGCAGCCCTCAACTGCGATGCTGATTCAAGCTCAGCCACGATGTTTTTACCATAATCTGCAATTCGACCAATACTTGTTAATAACAATCATAATGCACCAAATCCCACATCAATAAGGACGAGTCTTCAATTAAACCGAGCAACCCACAATTTTGAAACATAACATATTCATGTATCGTGTAAAAAATATCCTAATTTGTGAAAATTAATCGAAAATCCAAATTGAACCTGAAGCCATGATCAATGATGATATCGGAGACGAAGAGGAAATGAAGCATGGAGAAATTGGAAAGCTTTCCTCATTGGGTATGTAAAGACCTAATAATAATATATATGGGATTCGTGTGGTTAGTAATTTGTACGACCGACTTCAATATCTGCGGGTTGACCCGACTCCATAAGCGGATGGATGAGTTCTTTGGGAAGTTGGGGTTAACCGTTCTAGAACCGTTGTACGTTGTTGCTCCACTCCATAAAACATGGTCTCGTTGCTCCATAAAACCCTTCTTTCTTTATATTATTGTTTTTTCCTCTCCAACTTATTTTTATAGTTTTGTGTGGGTTTGGGAGAAAACGAGTAAAGAAGTTTTGGGTGGTACACACTATTTTGGTATATTAGTATGATTAATATGTATCATGTATTTGAATATGTTTATAAAAATGGAGGTTTAAACGAGAACATTTTTATTTTATAAAAACTTGAGAACATCTTTATCATCTATACTATCTTATTAAGCAAATTTAATAAAAATCTTAATGTCTTAAAATACTAAATGACCAAGATACCCTTTATACTACCATTACCTCACTTTTAGGGTCTGTTTGTTTGGCTCTTAATGGTGACATTAAGAGCCAACCTCTTAATCGCTAAGAGGCAAAGGTTGTTTGGCAACAAAAAAAGAACCTCTTAATGGTTACAAAAGGCTCTTAACCATTTAGGGGCTAGGGCTCCCCTCAACGATTCAGAGGGGTCTTCTTCCATTTTTGCCCTCCTTCCTCCTTCCTCCTTCCTCCTTCCAGTCGATCTCGTCTCCTCCCACCCTCCTTCCAGTCGATCTCGCCTCCTCTCCCGAGTTGCTGCTGTGTCGCCTTCTTCCCAACCCCTCTCTTCACGCACGTCGCTTCTATTCCACAGTCGTCGTCCCCGTCTCCGGTAGCCTCCGCCTCCATCGTCTCCGCCTCCACCAGCGAGTATTTAAGGTTGGGTCCTTGTATGTGCTTTCCTCGACACCGCCGAATCTAACCATCATGCTTTGAAATCGTTCTTCCTCTCGTTCCTTGCTTCGTCGCACAAGAGATTCATTCCCTATCTCTGAGCTCTTTGTGAACCTCGAAACTGATATCTCTTATAAGAAATCGGCAGATTTTAACGACCATAGTGATAACATGGCGTTTGATTGTGTTCAGGCTGGTCACCGGAGTTAATCCATCAGATACGAAACTCCAATCGAAAGGTTCAGGAACAAGGGCAAGAATTTAGGGTTTAGATGATTCTTGATGATAATTTATTAGAGAGGGTTAAAATGGTAATTTATTATCATTCAGAGGACAGTTACCAAACAACATTATTTCATTCAGCACTTAACCATTCTGACCCTCTCAACCATTCTGACCTTTTAACTATTATACACTAAATCATTCAGCAACTGCCAAACAGCCCCTTACTTAAATTATAATTTCAAATCTACACTTTATATCCCTATAATTAGTTAATTAATTTACTTTACGTC